CATATGAGGGAGAACATACGAATTTTGGTCTTTTGGGCCAGGCTAACCTCACTCAGAATGATGTTCTCCAATTCCATCCATTTACCAGTGAATGATTTAAGTGTCTTTTCAAAGAGCAGTACTTTTTTGGCCTTACACTTGCTAGGCAAGCATTCTTCCACTTGAACCATCCCCTAGCATGGTTCTGGAAATTCTTAATTCTGATGGAATACAATTTATATTTTCTGGACTGTGCTTTTGATGGTGTATCTGTGAAATCTTTCCATAATATATGTTTACCACAACTTTGTTTTCTTCTAGAAAACAGTTTCAGGTTTTAAATTTATGACTATGGTTCATTTTGACTTAGTTTTTTATATGTGGTACACATAGAAAATTCAAAACACTATGTAGATATCCAGTTGTTTCAGAAGCACCTGTGAAAAGGCTGTTCTTTATCCACCAATCATCTTTGCACCTTTCTTACAAACACTTGATCGTGGTCTACGTCTGGATATTCCCTTGATCTCTGGGTCTATACTTTGGTCAATACTATGCTTCTCTTAATTACTTTAGCTTGATCTAAAATCCTGAAATCAGATAGTGTGAACCTTCCAATTTTTTTTTTTTTTTTTTTGGGTACTGGGGTTTAAACTCAGGGCCTCACATTTCCTGGGCAGGTGCTCTACCACTTGAGCCACTCCACCAGCTCTATTTTGTGTACCAGCTCTATTTTGTGTTGGGTATTTTCAAGACAAGGCCTTAACTATTTGCCCAGGCTGGCTTGGAACTGCGATCCTTCTCTTTGCCTCCCAAGTATCTAGGATTACAGGTGTGAGCCACTGGCACCTGGCCAACTTTTTCAAATTTGTTTTTGTTATTGTAGTTCCTTTCCCTTTTCATATAAATTTTAGAATCAGTTTGTTAATTTGTATAAATCTGGGATTTGGGCCAAATTGTGGTTGAATTTGTGTATCAACTGGGAGAAAACATATTATTTGCCAATTCATGAATGTGGTTTCTCTTTCTCTGGCCTTCATGTGTGTCACCAATGTTCTGTATGTTTTCTTTTTCTCTTTTTTTATTAGTGGTTATTATACAAAGGGGTCTCATTGTGGTATTTCTACACATGCATATAATGTACTTTGATCAAATTACCCTTCTCTAATACACATCCCTACTTAATTTTTAATGCTATTGTGTATTAAAAAATTTTAAATTCTGATTCTTTATATATAAAGTGTATAGAAATATGTTTTTATATTTGTATACTGGTTGTATAACCTTCCTAACTTAATAGTTCCATTAAATTTTTGTAGATTCTTTGTGGGTTTTCTGTGTATACAATCCAGTATATATGCCTTCTTTATCTTGGCTTATTGCACATACTAGGTCCTCTAGTTACATTATCAAATATAAGTGAGAGTAGACATCTTTGCCTTATTCCTGACCTTAGGGGAGAGACAGTCTGTGTTTTGCCATTAGGGATGATGTTATCTGTAGATATTTTGGCAAAATTCCATTATCAGCTTCTCAGGGAGTTCCTTAAATATTTGATAGAATTTACCAGTTTTATTTGAGAGAAGGATTTTATTAAATTAAATTTCTTTAATAAACATAGAGCTATTAAAGCTATTTTTTGAATTGTGTAAGTTTAGGTCTTTCAGCCTTTCAAGATACTTGTCTGTTTCATCTGCGTTGTCACATTATTGGTATAAAGGTATTCCTTAACCCTTATACTTTGGGTGTATATTGGTAATATGGCACTACTTTCCCCCCCATAAGTCTGTACAGAAATGTACCACTTTTTTAAAAAAAAAATTTTCCAAAAAAATTACTTGATTGCCTTGATTGAGCTGTTTCAGTGATTCTTTCTTTTTAATTTCTTAGGTTGAAATGTGAGGTCACTAACTTCAACATGTTTCCCCCTTTTTAAAGGTGTTTAGTGCAGTAAATTTCCCTTTTAGTACTGCTTAGCTGCATCCCACAGATTTTAATATTTTAAGTTCTCATTTTATTTCATCCAAAATTTTTTGCAATTTCTCTTGTGATATCTTTGACCCACAGAAATCTAAGAGTTAACTTCCAAAAATTGAGGGTTTTTTTCCAGCTACAATTTCTATTAATGATTTCTGATTTAATGCTATTGTGGTCATAGAAACACATTATTTGAATCCTTTACCAGTGGTATGCAGTTCTGGGGTAAGGCACTTGCCTATCATGTGCAGGGCTCAGAGTTCAATCCCCAGCTCCAAAAAAAAATAAACAAAATTAAGATTTCTTTTATAGTCCAGAATGCACTGTTTTTGTAAATGTTCCATGTGCAGATGGTGCTGTTAGTGTTCTATAAATGTCAACTAGGCAATTTACTTGATAATGTTCATCTTTTATATCTTACAGATTTCTCTGCCTACTTATTCTATCAACTATGTTGAATCTCTTAACTATGAACTGTTTTTTCTATTTAGGATTGTATTAGGAAATAAGTTTTTTTTATCACTGATAATATTCTTTGCTTTGAAATGTATTTTTTCTGCTAATATAGCTACTCAAATTTCCTACTTCTGTCCTTTACCTTTTTATAAATAGTCTTAATTGAGATGTAATTAACATCCTAATATAATTTACCCATGTAAAATGTACAAGTCCAGGGCATCTGCCATATTTCCAGAGTTGTGTAACCATTGCCACATTCAGTTTTAGGGCTCTTTTAACCTCCCAAAAGGAACTTCTTGCCCATTATAAGAAACTCTATTCTCTCCTAGGTGAACACTAATCCATTTCTTGCCTCTACAAATTTGCCCATTCTGAATATTTTGCATAAACAGAATCATAGTTAGACTTTTATGACTGACTTCTATCATTTAATGTAATGTTTTCAAGGCCCATCCATACTGACCATATAGCAGTACTTCATTCCTTTTTATTAACACATGACATTCTATTGTATGGACATTTCAAGTATCAGCTACTGGACATGTGGGTTATCCTTCAAACTATTTGTATGTTTATATTTAAAGCAGGTTATTTAGAAGTAGCATATAGCTTGGTCTTGCTTTTTTATCTATTCTGACAATTTCTGTCTTTTAATTGGTGTATTTACACCACTTGTATTTCATTGCTATTTTCTTTACCATTTTCCCATATGTTTTTGCCTTCTTCCTCATTTTTTAAAACCTTTTTTGATTGAGTATGGTTCCAGCTCATCTCCTGTACATTGTTTTTTGGTGGTGGATCACGTACCTTTTTATATTTATCTTATTCTATGATCAGACAAGCAGTAATATATATTACCTCCTACTTTTATGATTCTTTTTTCTCCACTTCTTAACTCATTTGGAATTTATTTGGTTACAGGTTAAAAGTCTATAGGAAATGTCAGTCATTTCTTCCCACTCCAATTGCTTTTTGGGGCTATCATTGACAATCTGTTTCACAAATAATGCCACTGGAAATATATATAGACTTAGACTAAACTTATGTAATGGAGGAAATTACATCTTTTCAATATTGAGCTTCCTACTCAGAAACATTTACTATATCTTCATTTATTCCAGTCTTTAAATTACTTTTCAACAAGGATTAGTCTCTAATCCAACTTAAATTACTTTTCAACAAGGTATAAATTTCTAAGTCTTATGATAACCCCTTTAAAAAAAAAAACTATTGTAGCAGTTTTTCCATTGCTACATTTTCCATTGATTTTTTTTGCTGCTCATTTTTACTTGTTTTAACTTTTTAAGAGCTCAAGCCTATAGAAAAGTTAAAAAAAAATAGTACACTGGACTCCCTTTATTAGGCATTAACGCTTTACCATATTTATTCTTGCAATATACATACATATATTTTCTAGCTGAGCCATTTGTAAGTAGTTGCTCACACTGGGACACTTCATCTCTAAATACTTTAAGCATAGTCTCCTACAGAATCCAGTATCATCAACACCAAAGATATTTAAGAGAATTTTTTAAATATTACACTGATGTTTGTATTTAAATTTTAATAACTATTCCAAAACTTCTTTTTATCAGTGTTTTCCTATGCAGAATCCAATCAGAGATCACACATTGTATCTGTTTGTCTTGGCTCTTTATTCTTCCCCACCCTTAACCACTTTTATATGATTTCCAGTGATCTAGCATTTGCCTCAGTGACATTTTCTTCCCCTTCTCTGTACATCTTCTTAGATGCACTCTCACATCTCAGCAACTTTCTAAATTTTCACCAGTTAAGCCTCAAGTTTCCCTCCCCTTCTTAGACTGAGGCACTGCCACATAAACCTATCAAATGTAACCACTGCATTCCACTTCTCCCTTTAGACAAAAAGTCAACAGGATAAGACACTTGCCTATCCAGAAACAGGAAGTCAGAAACCAGTTTAGGCATTCAAATTTTCTGTTTCTAATAAATTTAGGAAAAAAATTTACAAATAAAAAAAAGCCAAAGATTTCCAGATTTGTAGCAGAAAATGTTCAAAATGCTAAAATAGGTAAGAGACAATAAACCAAATCCCTTACACTATTCCCAACTCTGAAGTTCTCAAAAACCAAACCAACTGATTCTGGGTTTTGCTCCACTGGGACTTGGTACTGGTCCCTGGCAGTTCATATCACTCCAGTGAGTACCTTAGCTAAGCACACACCCTATTTTTAGCATCCTAAAGCATTTTAGGTCTAAGAAAGGCCAAGATTCATATTAGTCTCACCTTTGATGGACTGTTGCTGAAGTAGTAAAAAATCTTTTCTCGAGGAGAAAGCATTGTTTCATTTTTATGGGGGGAAATGTAGACAGGATGATTTTGAGACAACTGTACTCGACGAGGGGAACCTGTTCTTACAAATGGATAGGGGGAGAGTGGAGGAGCATCCATCTGTTAAAACAAAATCAGCAATTCTAAGAAAAAATTTCTAACCATGTATGATTATTGAAAGTGATTATTTTCATTAAGAGGTATGATAAAGCAGTAGTTTTATGAATGTTAAACAGTGATATATTAGCAGTAACATTCAAACCTAAAGAAACTCATACTAGTAGCAAACATTTTAAGTGCTTAATTTATGCCAGTTAACTGTTTTAAGTATTTTTTAATACATTAAGTTATTTAATCCTCACAACAGCCCAATAAGCCAGAAATTACTTCTATTCCCATTTTATATATGAGGAAACAAACACAGAGAAAGTGAAATAATTTGCAAGGTCATCACTGTTAAATATCAAACAATTTGAACTAATGAAGCTGCTTCTCTTGTATGACTATACTTTGTAGGGAATCCAAGTACAGAATTATTCTTCATGCTTATTAACACAGCAGAAATTATGTTGGCTGGACTTCTTTGAAGGAAGAGACTTCCTTAGTTTTACTTAATGAAAGAATTATTTGTAAACCTAGTGGCCCAGGTCAAACATAAATGACTCCTCATCCTTTAGGACCAAAAGAAGCATGAAATGATCCCTGTCAAACTTACTACGTTTGCCTGTGAGTACTTCATGGCAAATGTTTTAATTTGTTTTACATAGATGTTGTTGTAGAACTGAATGAGGTCTCCTCTCTCCTCCTCTTCCATGTCACTGTTGGCACCTGTGAGCCGAGTAGGTGTAGGAGGAGCACTGCTGGGCTGTGGAACTGGCAAGGTGCTGCTTGACCTCATAACCGGGCTGGAGTCTCTACTGGCTGTAGATGGTAAATCAAAGGGTGTTAACCACAAAGACTGCTGGTAGAGACTTTTTTTTTTTTTTTTTTTTAAGTACTAGGCTTTGAACTCAAGTCTTCAGACTTGCAAAGCAGGTACTTAAACCACTTGAGCCATGCCTCCGGTCCCTACAGATTATTTCTAAAAAGAAAATTTAGTAGGAAAAAGGGGGCAGCTACTGGCAATACTTATTGCAGTAAGTGGGTACTCTATTCTTTAGGTTTGTTTACTGGGACAAGGTCTTACTACATAGCCAAGGCTGGTCTGCAACTCTCAGTCCTCCTGCCTCACTATAATCTGGAGTGCTGGGATTGTAGGCATGCACCACCACACCAAATCTTGGGCATTCAGATAGGATATTAATAACTTGACTCACATGCCATAACAGTAACAAGGGATTACTGAGTAGTTAGCATTAATGAGTTATACCAAGTTTTCTAGAACCTGACCCCTGCACTAAGCAGTGCAAATCAAAATCTAGGAACAGTATTTCCATAGCATGGCTCATTTCCATGACATACCACCTCATTCTGGAACTCAGTTTAACAAATTCATGTCTGAAATCTTTCCTGTTTCCCTTGGAGAACAATGTTACGCACTAAGTACCTCAAAACTATCCAATGATGGACAACTTTGCCACTAAATTTAGAATTTAGATTTATTCCAGAAATCCTTTGCCAATAAAACTCCTTCTGTAGTAGTTACTTCATTTAGTAACCCTTAGCCTTCTACGTCTAAAAAATAAGAAAGGCTCCTACCTCATTTATTTTGTAAAAGTTCATAAAGATCTCACTTACCTATATCTTTGTTTAGTTCTGTTGGAGAATTCTGATGGCTTCTGCTATCACTGCTGCCAGAATTTCTTCTTTTTCTTTTCCCTTTTATCAAAACACTTCTATACACCTTTAAAGAGACAGAAGTATTTATTAAACATATCCCTGTTTAACAGGACCCTGACATATATTTCCCATGTAGGGATAGTTGTCCTTCTCAGGGGTTGTTAAAAACTGCACCCAAGTTGGATGTTGTTGTACACACCTACATTCCCAGCACATGGGGAGGCTATGGCAGAAGATGATTGAATTTGGCCTTGGCTACCTTCTAATTCAAGGTCAGCCTGGGCTACATAGCACAAAACACTCATTAAAAAAAAAGAAAAGAAAACTGCAACCAAGGTCCACAGCTAGTAATTAACAGGTCCTGGAGTTATATTAGAGCCAATCTAACATCAAATCCCAAGTACTTCCTGTAATAGTACCCAAAATCAAATAATGCTTAGTCATATACAAAGGTTTAGTATACTTGCCTTTCAAGGACAAATGAATGGTATTAAAGGGCTTTGAATGTTCATTTATATTCATGTAAATTTCCCTTACTATTTTGGTTAAATGAACAAGTACTGTGCTACCTAAAGCAGCCTGAAAGGTGACATAGAGACCAACTAATTTCTCAATTTACATCTATCTCATGATTCTGTGGATTAAGAAACATTTCACATTGTTTCCTTTGAAGGAAAAGAGGACTTCAAATAACCAACATGTGAAGTTTTGTGTCAGTGACTGAAGAAAAAAGTAGCAACTTCTCATAAAGTAGTCTTAGCTATTTACCCTGGAAAAACAGTCACAGAATCAAAAATACGGCTAATTTTTTTAATTCATCACAGACTTGAGCTTTATTTTCAGCCCTGAGAGAAAACATAATTACCTGGCTCCGGGCCTGTGGCTGAGTCCTATAACAACGCATGATATTCTGGAAGGACTTGTCTTCTTTTGTGACCTGGCAAAGAATAAGACTACTGAGAGAGATGACTTCTGGCATAATAGCATGTAGAGCTCAGTTGAACCCACTGTCCACTGAAAGTGGTAAAAATTACATTAAATACAGCAATTTAAAATCTCTGGAAATGGTTTTAAAGGGTATATAGCAAATGAACAAATATCTATTCATGAAAAACCTAAAATTTAGTAAGAAGAGTAAGAGTGTGGGACAAGAACCAAGACCCAAATTAGAAAAGTACAATAACTGAAATGAAAAATTTACTAAAGGAAAAAAAACAAAAGATTTGAACTGTCAAAGAAAATGGAATTATCAGACCAGATGTGGTATCTCATGTCTATAATCCCAGCTATGCAAGAGGTAGAGATAGGAGGATTGCCAGCCCAGGCAAAAAAATTTAGTGAGATCCTATCACAAAAATCAAGCTGGGTATTGTGGTACACATTTTAGGGGGAGGTAAAGGTAAAAGGATTGTGGTTCAAGGCTGGCCTCAGGCAAAAAGTGAGACCCTATCTGAAAAATAAACTAAAGCAAAAAGGGCTTGGGGGTATGCCACAAGTGGTAGAGTGCTTGCCTAGCAAGTACAAGACCCTGAGTTCAAACCTCAAAAGAAAGGAACCAGCAAACTTGAACAAAAAGAGTATGTGATCTGAAGAACAGAAAGAAAAACAACAGCCTCAAGAAATGCTGGGCACCATTAAGCACACCAACATACATGTAATGGGAACACCAGAAGAGATTAGAGAGACAAAGCAATGTGCAAAGAAACAGACAAAGCCAAGCACTGTAGTGCATGCCTGTGATCCCAGTGCTGAGGAGGCAAGGGCAGGATGGCCTACATATCAAGATCCTGACTTCAGAAACAACAAAAAAAATGTAGAATGAAACCTTCCTAATTTATTTTAAAACATCCAGAAGCTCAACACACTCCAAGCTGGATAGACACAGAGATCCATACCTAGATATATCAAAAGTGCTGATAGCTGGAGTAAGAAAATCTTAAAAGCATCAGGGAAAAAAATTTTTCATTTATAAGGAAACCCCAATAAAAACTGATTTTTCATCAGAAACTATGTAAGCCAAGTGGTATGACATTCAAAGTGGTCAAAAAAAAAAAAAACCCAAAATTTTCAGGCTGGGGACATAGTTCAAGTGGTAGCGTGCCTACCTAGCAAGCTTAAGGCCCCGAGTTCAAAACCCAGTACAGGAAAAAGCCAAAACCAATCAAACAAAAGACCAGAATCCTGTATACAACAAAGCTGCCTTTCAAAGTGAAACAAAATATAACAACAGAATTTGCTGCTAATACAAATCTTTAGGAAGCAGTAAAGAAAAGTTCTTCAAGATAAAAAGTGCCCTTGGACAATAATTCAAATATACAGGAATACTGGCAAAGACATTATGTGATTATAAATGCATATTTCCTCTTAACTGATTAAAAAGTTAAATAAAATAGTATACATATATGATGTATTGTTGAAACTATATCAGAGAAATATAATACATTTGCCAAAAACACTACAAGGGAGGTGGATAGGAGCAAAGTTGTATTGGACAAAGGAAAAGAATCTGATGGCAATTCAGACCCACCGGCACCTGAAGCTGATTTTTGATAAATGAGATTATATATGGAACACCCTAGAGCAGTCACTAAAGAAATAAGTTAATCAAAATTGAAACTTAAGTGAAAAGACACACAGGAAAAATGTTTGCAAATCATGTATCTGACAAGATAATTGTATTCAGAATATATAAAAGAACTCTAACTACTCAAAAATAACACAAGTAAAAAATGAACAAAGAGCAAAGTGGTACACACATGTAATAGTCCTGGCACTTGGGAAGCTGAGGTAGCAAGATTGGTAGCTGAGGTAGCAAGATTGGTGGCTGAGGTAGGAAGAACATGAGTTAAAGGCCAGTATGGCCTAAAACTGTCCAAGAAAAAAAAATGGGCAAAAGATTTAAAAAGATATTTTCCCAAAAAAGACATATATATGGCCAGTAAGCAAAGGGAAAGATGCTTGCTGTCATTAGGCAAATGCAAAGAAAAAACCACAATGACAGCACTTCACACCTAACTAGAATGGTTAAAATGAAAAGTTCAGATTTTTAGAGGCCAACAGAGTGTGACACAGGATGTTCCACATCATTAGTCATTGAGCAAATACAAACCAAAATCATCATGAAATATCACTCGATACCCACCAGTAATCACAATTTTTTAAAATAAGTTGATAGAAAGTTGATAAGGATATAGAAAAATTAGAACTCAAGTGCATTACTGGAAGCAGTGTAAAATGATAGTTTCTCAAAATGCTAATTGTGGAATTAGTGTATGGCCCTGCAATTCCACTCCCAGGTATACACCTGAAAGAATCAGAACTAGGCATGCAAGTACCTGTATACACATATTCTCAACAGCACTGTACCTAGTGTGAAGGTTGGAAACAGCCCAAATGCCCCTGAGGGGATGAATGGATAAACAAATTCCAACATGTCCATACAGGGGACTATCATTCATCCATAAAAAGTAATGGGTCACAGATACATGCTGCAGCATGGCTATACCTGGAAAGCATTACCCTAAGTGAAACAAGCCAAACATGAAAGGTCACACTTAAATGAAATTCCAAGATAAGATCTCAGAGCCAGGACACAGATTGCTAGCTGTAGGGACCATGGGAAGGTACATGGGAATAAACTATTTAATGGGTAAGAGTTTTACTTTGCAAGAATGAGCATGTTTTGGAACTAGATACAGAAAGTGGTTGTGAAACATTATGAATGTATTAAATGCCACTGAAATGTTCACTTTAAAATGGTTAGCTTTATGTTATATGACTTTCACCTCAATACATACATACATATATACATACACGTATAGTACTGGGGCTTAAACTCAAGTCTTGCCCTTGCTAAGCAAATACACATGAGCCATGCCCCAGCAACTTTTTAAAAATAATAAAAAGTATTGTAGTGGAGAAATTAAGACCTACACATACTACGGTACCATACTTGGAAAATGGTCTGGTAGTTCCTCAAAAGGTTAAATTAATATACAGTTAGCATATGACCTGTCAACCCATTCCTAGGTATATACCCTAGAAAAATGAAAGCATATGTTCACACAAAAACTTACACATAAATGTTAACAGCAGTGTTATTCATAATAGTCTAGAAACAACCCAAGTGTTCATCAGTTGATGGATAAAAATAATGCCATATACCTACACAGTAGAATATTCTAAGAATGTGAAGGTTGCATGTCTCTTTGAATATACTAAGAACCACTAAGCTGTGCATTTCAAATGGATTATATCTCAGTAAAGCTGTTAAAAATGTTCTAAGTAATGTAGCATTTTTACCATTGCCTTTCAGTCTCAACTGGTACCCACCTTTGCCATCACATAAATGGCACACATTAACAACTGGTCCAGATGTCTGTCCATCATAAGTTCAGGGCATTGAATTATGGAGAATTCAAAGCAGGTCCAAATTTTTTTCCTCAGTTCATCTGAAATATCTAGTTTAGCACAAAGATCCCGAAGGCGGACACCTGCTAAGTGGTAAACCTAATAGATAAACAAGAATATTTCAAACTTTTTTTAAACACATATTTCCCAAGCTCATGCTTTGGTAAGGTAATGTGAAAAATTACCTTTCTAAAGAAAAGTGACAAAGAACTGGTCTTCCTGGGTCTAATACTGCTGCTGGTTAGAGGCTGGACATGTTTCTGCTGATGTCCACCTGGGGATATCTGTTGAATGGCCACTTGACCAGGGACTTGCAAAGTTGTTCCTGTCACCTGTTGAGAGCTCAGACTTCCAGCCAGGGCCTGAGCACTGAGGGGCTGGATAGAGCCAGCCACAGCTTGTGCTTGTCCCCCAACATTGACTTGGACTGGGAAGAAGGTTATCCCTCCATTTTCATTGGCAATACCTACAGTTTGTTACAGAGGATTAAAAAAGAAGAAGAAGAAAATGAGCTCTCCTGGCAGAGATTTCTGTTTCTCTTCACATAAGCCCCCTCTCTCCATTATTCCTTTATCCCGTATTGTCACTCTAGCCAAATCTGAGAAAACTTTCCAATAAATGCTAGAGAACTCAATGTCTAACAGTGTCTTCTTTACCTTGTACCGGAATGGTCACTGTTTGTCCATTGTTAGCTGTGACAGTGGCTGTTGCCATGGTGACCAGGGTCTGTCCAGGAACTGGTGTGACAGAAACAGCCTCCCCAGATACATTCTGCACAGGGACAGCATTGACTAGGGGCTGTTGGGAGATACGCCCAGGTGTCCCTCCATCAGAGGGACTATCATTCTCAAATAGCCGCCTTCTGGTAGTACTGACTGTTGGGGAGCTGTACCTGTCATATAACGTGGTTGGAGATGTCATGCCTAGGGTATAAAGAAATCAAGCAGATCATTTAGCCTAAGTAGACAGATCTGACTTCCATCCATGCTCTTATGTTCACAACCAACTACCGTACAGTGTTTGGAATACTTCAGAAATTCAAAGCAAACAAAACTCACAAGTCAGAATACACCTACACTCCACTAATGAAAATTCAAGTGAGCATTAATGAAAGCAAAATTTTATAAAGGAATTTTTCTCTATTTGTCTTACAGCACTCACTTCTTTGTTTACCTTCTCCCTAAATCAAGCTAGGCTTTGTCCTCTACTACTACATGAACTTGATGATGCATGGAAAATTCAAGGAATTATTCTGTTTTCTATATGATTTTTTCTCATACTCATTCTAACATGTATAGTGTGATTTCACTGTAAAGTCACTATTGATAAAGAAACATAATAGTAGTATATGATCTGGCAAGATTTTTCTCTCCAGTTCTTGTTTGTTTCTTTTGTTTTTTGGCAGTACTGCAGTTTGAACTTGGAGCCTTGTGCTTGCTGGGCAGGTACTCTATAATTTAGGCCATGCCCTAGTCTTTTTTTTTTTTTCCCCTTCCTTTCTTTTCCCCTTTCTCTCTCCCTCCCTCCGTTTCTTCCCTCCTTCTCTCTCTCTCTCGCTTTTTTTTTTTAATTATGTTGGGGGCAGGGCCTCATGGTTTTGGCTAGGGCCAGCCTCAGACTCCAGTCTTCCTCCCTATGCCTGCTGTACAGCTGGGATTATAGCCATATACCACCATTCCTGGCTTATTTGTTGAGATGGGATTCTGCTAACTTTTTGTTCAGACTTGTCTCAAGCCATGATCTCCCCAATCTCCACCTCCTGAGTAGGTGGGATTAAAGCCATATGCTACTACACCCAGTTCCCCTGTTTTTAAGTGAATTTTCATCTTAATCTTTTTCCACATATAGAAAACTGACAATACTCAGTATTTTTCTTCAGCAAGGTGGCTTAGATTCAATTATGCTTCATTTTTTTAACAGCTTTATTGTGATCTGATTCACATACCATAATTTCACCCATCAATGGCTTAGGTATATTATATAATTTATTAAATTGTGGTAAACTATAGATATAACACAAAATTAGCAACTTTAATCATTTTTAAGTATACAACGCAGAAGCATTAAGTATCTACAACATTGTATAAACATTAACACTACTTCCCAAACTATAGCTTAGTTTATTTTTAATATCCATACTAATATCTGAATTTTTGAGACATGAACATCCCTTTCTCTATTCCATGTGTACTTGTAAAAACTGATCATTAGTAGTTTTTCTTAATTAAAGAATACAAATAGGGCCTACTTATATTACAGGCTTATACCTATAATCCTAACTACCTGGGAGGCTGGGATCAGGAGGATCATGGTTTGAGGCCAGCCCAAGCAAATAGTTCTCAAAACCCATCTCCAAAATAAACAGAGCAAAATGGACTGGAGGTGTGGCTCAAGTGGTAGAGCACCTGCTTTGCAAGTGTGAAGCCCTGAGTTCAAACCCCAGTCCCACAAAAAAAAAAATGTGTGTGAGAGTATATGTGTGTGTACGAAAATCATAAGTACTGACAAAAGTAAAGCCTAAAAGATCATGGCTCAAATATTGCCTGGTGATACAAGATTACATGGACTTACTCCATCTGCATTTGCTATAAAACTGCAGGATAAAAAAATACACTAGGAGAGGATCACTATCCTGTAAAAAGAACTCAGGAAAATGGAGAGGTAACAAGTACAAGAAAAATAAAGTTCAATGTTAAATCTTAGCTCATAGATTTGGAAAGGAAAAACACTATAGAAATAGAACTAAAAATGATCAGCTCTTGAATCTGCAGACAGGTCTGAGTGTATAATAAGCAGAAAAAAAGATATTATGACTCCTCTTTCAAACATGAGGAAGTTTTCATATGGATCATCCTTATTTTATTTTTTTGAGACAGGGTCTCACTATGTAGTCAAGCTGGCTTTAAACTCATTATCCTCTTGCCTCAGCCTCCTAACTGCTGGTATTACAGGGCTGCACCACCAGACCCTACATCATCCATATTTATTGAATGTGCACTTAAGAGTAATCTTGTTTATCAATTACAAAACTAATCAAGAAGTAAGAATTTATGGTCTCAAGGTATGGCTCAAGTGGTACAGTGCCTGTCTTGCAAGAGTGAAGCCCTAAGGTCAAGCCTGAATCTATTAAAAAAAAAAAACAAAACAACACAAAAAACCCAACTAATTAAAAGCTGGTGGCACCCAACAATTCAGAACTCTGGATTTACATAATCATTCTTTAAAAAAGTAGTTGTGGGGCTAGTGGACTGGCTCAAGTGGTAGAGCTTCTCTTTACTAAGCATTTAACTCTGAGTTCAAACACAGTACCACCACCAAAAAAAAAAAAAAAAAAGAGTAATTGTATCCCCCATATGTTATTTAAACCTTGTAACCAGTAGATCTTCTAAGGGGCTGCCTAAAATATAAAGCAGATGCATAGCAAACTTTTCCTTTTCTGTACTTGTTGGGCCAGCACTGTTGTCACAGTGACCCAGTTAGCACACCTCAAATAATTGACATGCTCAAGCCACTGAGCTTTTCTGTCTCTAATGGACAATGTAACTCTGTCCTAAAGAAGGCATCTTTATTCCTTTTGATTTTAAAAAAGCAATACATAGTTGGATGTTTAACAAACATTAAATATTTTATCCTTTGTAAATATTCTATTCTTTTAAGAGGTATCTGTAAGCTGGATGTAGTGATGTACACCTATAATCCCAGCATTCCAGAGGTTAAAATGGGAAGATCTTAAGTTGAAGGCTAGCCTGGGCAACACAGCAAGACCCTTTCTCAAAAACTAAAAAAATTCTTATTCTATCATGTATTTCCCTGTTTCTTAAATATTCTTTAAAAGCATTTTTTTTTGGGGGGTGATATACTGGGGTTTTATCTTAGGGCCTTGCACTTGCTAGGCAGCTGCTCAATCACTTGAGCTGCACCATCAGCCCTTTTTGCTTTAGTTAATATTCAAATACAGTCTCCTTTTTATGCCTGGGGTCAGCCTGGACTTCAATCCTATTTACCTTCCTGAGTAGCTGGGATGACAGGTGCATGCCACCATGACTAGCTTTTCATGGTTCAGATGGAATCTCACTAACTGTTTGCTTGGACTGGCCTCAAACCACTATCTTTCTGATCTCCCCACCACCACTACCACCATTAGCTAGGATTACAGGATGTGCTACCATGGCCAGCATTATTTTTAAGTGATCCATGTATCCCTAATGTGCATAGAATATTTTCTTCTCCATATGCCCTATTAACTTCATTTACAGGTTTAGATGAAATTTGAATCTCTAGATACAGGGCTCTAAAATATTCCTTCTAGTATTTTGAACTTACTTCTTCCAAGTCCTCCAGTATCAGCACGAACTTCACTCACCCTTCTGGGAGTCAAGGGGGAGCCAGCAATACAAATTTCATCTGCTCTTTCCAGGTTCTGAGGTGGCATGACCTAAAAAAGAATTAACATTTTACACAAAATGGTCAAAAAAGCATTTTCATTAGAAACAGTAATAATCTAAGGCAAAAGAAAGCTATCTTTTTTTTTTCTTTTATT